GCCTTCCCCGCGCCGCTTGCCCCATCGGGGCGAGCTTGGGACGCTCGCGCCTGGAACCGAATTTGGAGCCGGGTTTGAAGTCGAGTTTGAAGCCTGACGTGGGCCGCTGGGGGCCCCGAGGACCTAGCCCTGGACTCACCCTTCACCAGCCTCGCGTGGGGCTCGCCGCCGGGCCTGGCGAGCGAGCTGCCTACTACTTTTCGATTTGAATCGAGTCGGTTTTGGTTTCCTGTTGCTTTGGGGCCATTTATCTTTTTGCTTCGCCTCTGGCCCGCGCCAGGGGCGGATGTTGGGCCCGGAGCGCAGGGTCCGGGGCGCCGCGTTCGCCTTTACTGAGCCGCACCGCCGGACCCGGCTGCGGGGCGTGGTGTGCAGAGGGGCGCGAGGTGGGCGCGGCCTCCTTCCTGGTTAAGAGAGTTCTCACGGGGCCAAGGAGAGGGGCGCGGACCAGGTGTCCCCGGGCTCCTGGCTGCCCCGCCAGCGGTGTCCGCTCCCCACGCCGGCTCGCTGCCCCCACCCTGGCTTGCAGTTTTTGTGCGGTGGGCGTGTGTGCGGAAGACCGAGCTGCGTGCAACTGGTGGGACTTCCACTTTTCGGAGTTCAAGTTTGGAAACCTTGCGGGGGAGTGGGGCGGGGGGCAGTTTGGGAGAGGGGCGCTTTTTCCTCTCTACTTCACATCGAGGGGAATCTAAAGAGTCTAACGGTGATTAATTCTGCTCTTCCCCCAAAAGTTGGAGGGAGAATTAGCTCCCCAGTTCCAGAAGGTAGGGCCCCCATCACACCCCATCTGGGCCCCCATGGGGGCTTAATTTACACACCCCTAGTAAGATCGAGAGGGAGGGGCTTAACTGATCCCTTCCCAAGAATGGGGTCGAATTCCTAACAAATGGGGCATCTTCATCCCCCTCCGCTGGTTATGTGTGAGGGGGCTGCCACTGAAGATGCCCTCCCTGGGGAGCCGGTGTTGGGTGTCCATGGAGGCGGGGCCATGTCCTCGGGTGCAGTCCCGGTGCCCTAGGAGGCAGCCCTGGCGCGACAATGAGCCGCTCTGATTCCTCTGCCGGCGCTTTGTTGGCGGGCGGGGCAGCGGGCCCTGCAGCTGTCGCATTTTCCCACGAGCGGGGAGCTGAGTGTAGCCACCGCCACCCCCTCCCCAGCACTGCCCCCTCGAAGAACTTGTTTGAACAGCAGCACAATCCTGGTGACTGGTAGGGGCCCAGCCCAGCCAGGGTCCCAAGTGAAGACAGGTTGGGAAGTGAGAAGTTTGGGAGAGTGGCCAGGGTCATCTCTGCTTTTCTCCACCACTGTCCGGAGGCATTTCAGACTACCCGTCCCCACTTGGGGCATGACTTATCCACCTGCCATCCAGCCAGCCTGTTCCTCCTCCCTCCAGTTGTGACTTCAGAACTCTAGGCAGAATGTCGAAGGTCCTTGGGGTTTGTTCAGGGCTTCCTGGGACCCCCATGCCCCCAGCAACCCCATGATGGGAGGTAAGGGTTGTGCAGTGCCCCTTGGGGTGTGCCCTTTCTAGTACTGGCCAGAATGACCTCTCCTCTTGCCCCTCCCCAGGCCTGCGATGTTCCCAGACCAGCGAGACTTGCTTGAATGGTGGGAAGTGTGAAGTGTCCCTCAATGGCACCGAGGCCTGCGTGTGAGTATGCGCCCCTGCGGGGACCTGTTGCTTTGTCGGGAGCAGAGCCCTTGCCTTCTGCAGCAGGGCAGCAGGGGCAGAACACTAGGCCATTGTCTTCTGGAGATGGCCCAGAAGGCTGGGCACGGTCACGTGCTACTTTTATTGGACGAAGTCTGGCAATTACTTAATCACCAGCAATTATGCTGCGTGTGGAGCTGGTCTGGCTGCTGGAGGTTTGAGCACTCTTTTGTGGGCCACCTAGGGTTCCTGCGGTGCTAGGTGGGAATCCCCAGTACCTGTTTCTTCCTGAAGTCCCTGAGAAACAGCTGAGCTGCTGGGGTGGGGGTGGGGGGCTCTGGAGCATCTATAGAGAAGCCGCGCCTTCACTGCCCTGCCACTTGGGGGTGCCTCTGCCAGGCAGGTGAGAGCTTCCTGGGCAGGTGATGCCTGTCAGCAAGAAACTGACAATTTCAAAGCCAAACCCGCCCTTCTCAGCCCTCTGCCTTCCCTGTCCACTCCTCTCTGGTCTCAGGTGAGGTGGGGGAAGACTAGTTGGAACTCATCTCATTGGCTGTGCCCTTCTCCCCCGGTTGTAGGGGCTAGTAGGACCTGCCAGAAGCTTGGTTTTGGTTCTGGCATCTGCAGTTCTGACCTCCTAACCGGCTGGCCCTGCACCTTCCCAGCCTTGAGTACTCAGCTGTGAATTGAGTGAGATGGTGACCTGCCTGGATTGTCCCGGACTCGGGCAGGGAGTCCGTTTAGAACCTGCCTCCTGCCTGTCTGTGAGGACCAGTCAGCAGCCTTAGGGAAGTGTTTCTGTGGTGGCCGATGCCCTTCAACTTGAGTTCATCCCTGATGGGAATAATGAGGAGGTGCCTGGTGGCTGGAGAAACGGCCCCCTCCTCCCCCTGGAGGCTGCAGAAGAAGTGGCTCCCCAGCCGGGTTGGCGCGCCCTCATTCCAACTGCTGAGGGCCCATTCCCTTGACAACCCCCAGCCCGGGCTTACTGCCTGCCCAGCCAGCGGGCAGGCAGCCCCCACCCCCACCCCCACCTCCCCGCCAACTGAAGCCAATTAAGCAGGTCTGTGAGCAGTTTAATGGACAAAGCGGATTGTGTCTTTGTCAGATGCTAATGAATGCACACTACTTTTTTTTTTTTTTTTGCTTTTTTGGGGGCCTTTTTCTCCTCCTGCAGAAGCCTCACCGACGCTTGATGCCCTAAATCTTGTTTCCTTTCATTCAGAGACCGACAGCTGGGATTCAGTGGAAGTGCAGTGGCTATTGTTGGGGGAGGCGGATTAATGCTGTTTGATTAATTATGCGTGGCTTTCCAGAATGCATAACTCCCTTCCCTGCACCGTGGCGCGCTCCTGCCCTGGCTTTGCCACTCACTGGTGTGTGTGTGTGTGTGTGTGTGTGTGTGTGTGTGTGTGTGTGTGTGTGTGTGTGTGTGTGTGTGTATGCGTGTGTGTGCACATATGTTGGGGGGTACTCAAAATCTCTGTTCTTCTGCAGAGGGCTTTGGGAGGGTGGGGGGAGTGTTGTGCTGGGGAAAATGGGAGCGGTCTCTTCTTGGGGAGTAGGGACAGCCTGGGGTCTCCAGGACCGAGGCTCGCGCCCCGTGCTGCCAGGGCCGGCCGGGAAGGAGGTGCCTTGGGCCATCAGCTGCTGCAGCTCGCTCCCTGGCCTCAGGGTAAGGCACTTCAAGGGGACAGCACCCTGCTGTCCCACCCCTCAAACCTGGGTGCTTTGGCGGTCCTGTCAGCCCTGAGCCATGGCCCAAGGCTGGGGTGCCGGCCTTTCTTCTCCCTTGGGCCTGGTGCCCCATCCTCCTTGTTGGGAAGCCTGCCTCTCTGGCCTGGCACCCAGCCGAGCTCGGCCCACAGAGACCCCATTGTGCACACCCCACAGATCCACTTGGCAGATGAACGGAAGCGCCGTCCTCAGAGGCCCCACCTCTGGGCAGCACTGCGGGGGGCAGGCGAGGGCCCAGAGCGGGGACGGCCCGGCCAGGCGCAGCCGTGGAGAGGCACAGGTCCGGGCCCCCGGGGCTGCGGGGCTTGCTCTCCCAGCTGAGGGAAGCCGCCTTCTTTCCTCCGAGGTGTCAGGGTGCAGGCCTCCGGAGCCCTGCCGACCTGGTGTGTGAATTCCAGCTCTGTGGCCTCCAGCTGGGCCCCTCAGAAAGTGCTTTGACTTTCCGTGCTGACTTGCTGGCTCCCCTGTGGACAGGGCGTGGGAAACGGTGGTGTCAGTGTGCCAGGCACGTTAATACCTGGTGAATCATCTGTTTCCACCCTGAAGAGAAGGAACCTTCCCCAGAAGCCGCTAGTCAGGTGGCTACAGGGCTCAGAATCGGAAAAAGAGGTTTCTGCTGGTGCGAATGCCTTCCCAGGAAGTCGAGGGGTGCAGGGGCCTGGCCGGCCAGTGGCCTTGGAGGAAAGGCTCAGTTGCAGGTCCCCATGGGCAGAGTGTCATCTCTGGACAGTGGCTGTGTGTGGTGGCCCGGGGGCTGCCACAGGGGGCTGCTGGCCTGTGGGCAGGCTAAGGGGGTCCTCTACCCGACTCCAGCCTCCTTGCAGGCCCCACTGGTGCCGAGGAAATACGGAGGTGGACTCCCCCTCTTTTCTTTCGATTGAGGGGATGGGTGGGAAGGCCTGTGGCGACTGCTGTCTGTTTGGGTGAGCGTGTGTTTTCGGTCTGAAAGGCTAAACAGGAGCCGCTCGGTTCTGGGCTGGGAACTGAGGCCCCAGGATGACTAAGATACTCCTCTTGCCTGTGAGAAAGTCAGAATTTCACTGGGGGCCTCTTCCAGGTGATCACAGAAGTGGGGTGAGCCCTTCCACCCAGAGCACCGAGCAGGAAATTCCTGCTGGCTGGTGGCTGGTGGGCCTCAGCTCTGGACAGCCCTGTATTTGAGGCCTGGCTCTGCCACTCGGGCTCCATGACTGCAGGTCATCAGGTCACCTAAACTCAGGTTCCCCCAGTCTGTGTTTCGTGGCTGATACACAATTGATCTCTGAATGGTGCGTAAGGATTGCATAAGAGTGGCCTGCCGTAGGCACCGGGTGAGTGTCTGTTTCCTCCCTGCCTTCTCCTTTTGAGCTGACAGTGCTGGTTTCAGGATCCTCATTCTCGAATGTTTAGTTAGCTGATGGGTTAATTCAGAGAACCCAAAAGGTGCAACCTGGTGGGCCGGAGCCGGGGTGCCGCCCAGGAGGGGCTGGCCGATTTTGAGGATCTGATCGCCTATGATGGCTCCAGTCAGCAGCCCTCTTGGCGTCCTCCCGCACTTCTGAGTGCCTGGTGTGTGCTGGGTTCTGCTCTAGGCTTTGGTGCAGTGGGATCAGGTCAGACACAGTTTATCTTCTTTCTGCCCCTGCCCCCATGGAGTTGACCTTCTAGTATGAGGGCAGGAGAGGCAACATGATGTACATGTGACGTGTCAGGTGGAGGTGAGCACAGTGGGTGGGGCAGCCTGGCCCCATGTGGCTCGAAGCAGCCCCGTAACACCACAGGGATCAGGGCAGAAATGGGGGAGCACAGAGATGTCGACGCTTGGCCCCAGGATCACACAGCACAGAGTAGAGTCCAGCCCTGGGTCTTTCTCCAAAGTTGTATTCCTAACCACTGCTGCATCCTGCCCGCACTGCCCCAGGCCCTCCCTGGCCACTCTGCCAGGAAGCAGGGCGGGGACTACAACTTCCCTTTAAAAGAGGAGGTTCAGAGGGTCGGGTGGGAAGTGGCTCTGCTGCCCGCCCTGGCTGCAGAGGGATGGAACGTTATGCGTCTCTGTCACCTGGTCCGTCTGTTTCCACTGAGTCACCTGCAAGTCTTGGGCGAAGCCGGGGGAGGAACGGGTTAATCCTCACCCTCGCCCCTAGGCTGTGAGCGACAAAGGTCTGGTACAGGACTTCCTCTGTTTACGCAGCGCCTGGGCTTCAAGGACGCAGGGTTAGAAAAACACACCTTAAACGCACAGCGTCAGCTAGGAAGTCTCACCTACTGACTCTGACTGTGGAACAGCATCAAGGAACACACATTCTTTAAAGGAAGGTGCCTCCTTGGGCTTGGCCCTGGCCCTGAATGACAGCCAACATTTTTTCCATTGAAAAAAATAATAGTAATGTTTTTTAAAAAGAGAAAGAAGATAAACTGTGCCCTTAGCTGGAAGAGGGTGGGGCAGGGCAAACAGCTGGTGGAGAAACTCTCAACAGGACAGCTGAGCTGGGCCTGGGCTGGGTGCTGGGACCCCCCCCAGAAGCTAGGGTGGCAGGGGGGTGTCCAGAGGGTTCCACTCCCAAGTGCTGGGTGGCACCTGAAGTTCCCACAAGAGCTGGGAGTGGCTCTGTTCCTCGCTGACTGTGACTTTGCTGGGTGGCAGTGGCCGTCACTGGCACATGGGGTCTGCTGGGCAGAGGGGTTGCGCTCTCCTGGGGTGGGGAGGGCACCTTTCCTGTTTCATGTCTCATCTATAAATAGTGAAAGGATGTGGTTTTGCAGAGTTGATTGAGCGTCTAGATTGCTTTCCTCAATAATGTAACGATCATAACTCCACGCACAGACAGCTGCTTTTATTGGGCGTCATAAAGCCCCAGGCAGACGTTTTATCCAACTGGCTCACACCCGCTCCAGGTGGTGGCCAGCTCTGCCTTTTTTTTTATCCCCAGTTTACAGGTGGGAAAAACTGAGGCTGAGAGTTGAAGAGGCTGGGAAAGGGGGTGGGGATCTGAGGCCAGCTTGCATCAGCTTTTGCCTTCATGTACAGGCATATCCAGAACTTTCCAGAGGCTTTAATGAGCGGCTGGCTTCGGGGCATCGTGACTGTGGGTCAGGATGTGTTTGATGGTCCTGAAGTTCCTGGTGGGGCTGGGGCTTGGCTGTCTCTGGGGGCCCCACCCCATGCCCCGCCATGGACAATCCAGGAGACACAGAACCAGCCTGGCTCTGGTGTGCTGTGCCCCCCCAGACACATGTCTCCTCTCTGAGCCTCGGTTTTCCCTCAGTACTTGAGGGTGTTGGATTAAGTGGTCCTTGGTGCTATATCCTTCCAGCTACATGCTGGCAGGACCCCGGGATTAGCCGGCAAGAGCCTGGGTGGTGGCGGTGGGCAGCAGCAAGGTGCGGGGAGAGGCACCCAGGAGTCAGGCCTGGCCGTGATGCAGCAGAGCAGACTCCGTCCACCTGGGGCCAGCTCTGGGCTGTGGTGCTCTTGTTACCGGGCTGGGGACACACCTGCTGGAGATGGGGTAGGGCTTGACAGGCACGCAGAGGAGGCGCAGGTGGGCAGAGGAAAGCCCTTTTCCAGAGTGGCCTCTGGTGGCCTTTCTCGAGGCCTCGCCCCACCTCAGCCTGCTCTCTGAGAACATGAGGGAGTCGACGGCTACACTGGAGGGGGTGGGTAATACGTACATGTATTTTGGCAGTAAATTGCCTATAGCATAAGTTTTATGATTTCATCCATTCAAAGCGTACATTCAAATGTACACTTAAATGGACATTTCAAGTGAAATGGGGCATTTGGTACATTCACAAGGTTGTAGAACTGTCACCCCAAATAGAACCCCCACACCAGTTAGACAGGCACCCCCATTCCCTCTCCCCCAGCCCCTGGGGAGCACCGATCTGCTCTGTGTCTGCAGATTTACCTGTTCTGGACACTTCACACGATAGGATCACATGTGTGGCCTCCGGCTCTTATCCGGCCTTCTTTCACTCGTGTGTGTCAGTGCTTCACTCCTCTGGGCACTGGACTTGACCTGCCTGAGACTGTCAGGGATGGGCTGGCGGTGGGCACCAGCATCCAGGCCCTTGCACAGTCTCGGTCTTGGACAGGAGTCCAGAGGAGGTGGTGTTGGGGGTGGTGGATGACTGGAAGGCTTCCTGGAAGAGCTGGTGCTCATCTCTGTGCTTGAGTGGGGCCTGGTATGTCCCAGGTGTATTAGTTAGGATGGCCTGGGTGTCTTCTGCTCCCAGCCTGCTCAGGGCCCCACGTCAGCTCGCAGCCTCAGGTCCTGTCCCTGGGCCTCAGCTTCCACCAGCCAAGCCGGCCCGGGGCAGGAGCGCCCAGGGCTGCGGAGCCAGTGCCCCACCTGCCTGGTGCTGCAGGAAAGCTAGGGGAAGCGGCTTTACTGAGCAGGTGCTAGGTGCGGGGTCGGGAGCGGGCCAGGCGGACGCAGGCCCCACCTGTGCAGGAGAGGAGGCACATTGTTTCAGCACCAGGCTTCAGGGAAGACGCCTTGACGCCTACTGCTCGTGGCCCAGTGCTGTGGGAACACCCTGTCCCGTGCCCCAGGCCTGCCGCCGCCTTGGAGTGAGTCCACCACAGAGATGGCAGGCAGATGGGCTGGGACAGGTCAGCAGGCAGTGCAGCCCTGGGCAGAAGGAGCGGGAAGTAAGGCTTTGGACCATGGAGGGAACACAGAGACCCTGAGACCCTTGGTCCCTGCCCAAGCCAGCTGCCTCCTCCCTGGCCTTTTCCTGTGGTAGGAGCACATCTTTTCCTGGACCCTCAGGGTTAGCGTGGAGTTACCCCCAGTGGACCCCTGGCAGGAGGTACCCAGCCTTATGTGAGAGGGGAGAGGGCTGAGGGGGCTGGCCCCCTGCTCTTAGCATCAGACAGGCCCCCTCCAAGCTGCCCCCGGGGCTCAGGGAGGCTCTGTGTTTGCTACTTGGCACCAGAGGGGCCCGGGACCCTTGACAGAGCAGCCCTCCTGGTCAGCGGTAGCGTCTGGACACCTGCTTGGCCCCAGTGGGGAGGGCTGAGATGGTCCTGGCATCACAGGGCAGGGAGCTCTCCGTGCATTTCTGAGACCCCTGGAACTCTGGGGGCAGAAGCCCCCTCCCCAGTGCTTCGCCACTGCGTGGCCCCTTCTTGCTGAAGGTTTCTTCCCCACATGCACCCACTACCCCTGGGATGGAAGCGTTCTGGGAAATGTGGCCCGAGACCTCCCCGTCCACGTCCCCCAGCCCCGGGGGCAGGGATGGGTCATCGTGAATCAGGTTAGCATCACCTTCTTCCCTCTCCCTCCCTGACACAAAGCTGCCACTTTGAGTGGATGCCCACTAGGTGGGGTGTGGACACCTCAGAAGGGCGGCCTCACCTACCAGGCAGCCCACCTCTCTTGGGGTCCCAGACCTCCCAGAGCCCCCATTTGGCGCACTGTGGTTCTCAGGCTCCCCTGGGCTGGGGGCTGGGGGCCGTCTCTGGAGCCTCCCTCACCTGAGCCACGCCGGCAGCTCTCTGGGCTCTCACAGTTTCCCGGAAGGAGAACCTGGGGTGCTGGTCTCCAGTGGCCTTGGAAGGGATACACTGGGGGAGGCTTACCACCAACGCCCACGCTGTGGTTCCCAAACCTGAGAGTCACTCAGACAGGCTGCCAGGCCCTGCCAGGCCCGGTCTGGGAGTCCTTATGCAGCAAGTGCCAGGCCCAAAGGCTGCCCCAGCACCTCAACCCAGACAGCCGCTTCCCCCCACCAGGCTGCCCGGGGACAGGTGGGCCCCAGGCGGGAGCTACTCTTACCAATGGGAGGTAAGGCCGAAGCCTAAATTGGTCGCTGAGATTTTCACCAAAGAAACGGCTGCGTTATGACTCTGCTGCACCAGGTCTGGCCTCTGTCCCCGGCCTGTCCCAGCTCCCCCGCCCATCATTGGGCTGGGTGTCAGTCATGTGTCCCTGAAGTGCTTGAATTGGTTGTCCTTTTAAGCTAGGTAAACGGTCCCCTTGTCACTCTGTTGACACTGATTTGCTGAACAAACTCATACCCTACAGGTAGCACAGAGGCCAGCCTCACCCAACCCAGCCGAGGCTGTGGGCAGGCAGGTCCCATGGTGTCACAATGATCCTGGTGTGAGTGCAGTGGGCCCGGGAGAGGAGCTGGGGTTCAAGAGGTGGCCAGGAAGTGTCTGAGACACCCAGGACGGGGGACACAGCTAGAACCTCAGCTCTGGTCCTCGTGTCGAGGTGATGCTCAGGCACTGGGCCATCCCCTTCTCTGGGGACCCCTCGGGGACCAAGGCAGCAGCGTGGCTCCTGGCCTTCTGCCTTCGTCACTTCCTGATCGTGGCCCAGCATGAGTCACAGCCGGGCCGCAGGCACCTGCCCCACAGACCTTTTGCCGGACAGACCCCACGCTAGGGAGCTGGCTCACTGCGCCAGACCCCGGGGAGGACTGCCACCCTGTTTACCCGTCAGGACACAGCTGGGCCCCGGAAGCTGCCGAGAGGTAGCAGCACCGGCTTCAACCCTGGCCACCGTTCCCAGGTGGTTGCGGGCCCACAGCAGAGCCAGGGCTGCTGGGGGAGGACACCGTGAGAGGAGGTGGGCGGCAAGAGCAGCTGCTGGCAGCCTCTGGAAAGATCTGTCGGTGCCTGAGCAGCAGGACCGGGGGCCCTGGGACCTGCCTCCCACCATTTCCTCTCAGTTTCGGTTGTTGATAAGCGGAAACTACACAGTTACTGGAAATGAGAGGTTTGGGGGAGAAGCCAGAGTTTTGAGTGTGTGTATTTTTCCCTGACAGCTTTTCAGTAAAAGATGCTGGGCTGAGACTGGGCCAGGACAGGGGACAGGCGGGGGACAGGGTAGGGGACAGGCCACACTCCACCCTCTGGAGTGGAGTGCGGACAGGCTTCCATCTCCCCTCTGTCCACAGAGGGCTGGGGAGGTGACTACCTCTGGGCCTCCAGGGTCAGCCTGATGGTCTCTTTTCCCCACTTGCCAGACTGGTCCTGGCTCCCAGGGGCTAGCCCCACAGGGTGGAGCTCCCCTCACTTCCCCCTCTGGGGGTCAGAATGAGGACAGCCTCAGGCTTATCTGGTTAAGAGCCAGAGCAGGGAGGCATCCACTGTCACAGGGGCTCAGACCATGGCAGCATCCTCCCTGGGGGCCCAGGGTCCAGGGCCGGCACTGCACGGGCACTCAGTAGGTTTCTGGTGTGCGGGCTGGGAAGGGCTGGAGCCCGGTGGGCATGGAGCTGGAAGTGGAGGCAGGTGGGCAGATCCAGGTTTCTGGAAGGCCTGGCTTCCAGGCTGGAGGGAGGCGCAGTCTGAGCCGGTTGCCCTGCACCGGATTTCCCCTGTTCCCGCTCGGTTGTCTCTCTGAGCTGGGATGTGCCGTGGTCAACAGCCCGGGCGTGGAATCAGCTTCCTTCCCCCACCTGGGCTGTGTGACCTTGGGCTGCTCACTCACCTCTCTGAGCTCCCCCTCCCGGGAAGATGGGACTCAGCCTCTGCGAGGAGCAATAAAGCATCACACGAGTTCCTGACCAGTAAGCGTCATCCTTGCTGCCCGTCCCTTGTTGCTCTTCATTCCCCGTCCTATTTTGAGGTCGTTGTGGATTCACACTCAGCTGTAAGAAGTAACCAGTCCAGACTGGCCCCATGGGGTGCCCTCCGTTTCCCCCAGGGGGAGCATGTCAGTTCAGTTTCACTCCACGCTGGAGCCTGTTCCTGATGCCCCGAGGCCTCATCCTGAAAGCTCTCCCAGAGACCAGTCCCACCCAGGACTTGGGCAGGGTCATTCAGGGGCAGAGGGTCATGCCCAGCCTGAGAGCCTCCAGCGTTCCCTGCAGGAAAGAGCCCCCCCACCCCAGACGCCAGCTGGCCCGGGATGCCCCGTGTCCCCGGGGTGTGACAGGGCAGGCTCACCCCTCTTCAGGCCCACCCGGGCCTGGGTGCAGCTGGCTGGATTCTGCTTCTGGTGTTTGCTGTCTCCCTTGCTGCTGGTGCTGGGCCCGGGTGAGAGCAAGAGGTATGAGTGGCCGGCCAGGGGTGCAGTGAGTGGCCGGGGGGGCATGGGGGCCTAGTGGTCTGCCTGGGGCACTGTTGAGGGGGCAGGTGGCCTGCATGAGCTGGAAGAGGAGGCCAGAGAGAGGCACTGGTGATGCTTGCAGGATGGGGTGGCCTCTGGGATGACTACTGAATTCTGTGCTGGGCACTGTGGCTTAGTAAGAGGCCGCCCACAGCCGGCCCTGCCCGCTGCCCGTAGTCAAGGGGGTGTCCTGGGAGCCGTGGAAGAACGCGGCAGGGGCTGGCCCTTGGCTGGCCTGTCCAGCGGCCGGCTGGCTGTGGGCTTCATCCCTTGTGTCCCCAGTGCCGATGGATTGGGAGGAAGGTCACACAGGTACTGTGGGTGCTGCTGTGACCCTCCTGATGGACGGAAGGGATATTGGGGAGCCAGGGCTTCCCAATTCCCAGGCCTCTCACCCAGAACCCCGCCTTCCCCCCCACCTCCCCCCGCAGGGTTTTGAGTTTCAGCTGATCTTGTGGGGATGTGAGAATGCATTGTTTGCTCCAGCCCTGGCCCTCCCGGTCTGGGGAGATCAGGTGGTCAGGCAAGAAATCCAGGCCTTTGGGGGTTGTGGGGGACCCACACCTTCCCTCCTCTACCCACGGAGCTCCTGCGGACCCTTTGGCCATCTCTGGGGAGGCGACCCTGCTCCGGCTGCCCTGGGTGGCTGGCGTCTGGCCACCACTGGTGGCAGGAGAGGTTAAGAACTGCTTTCAAATCCAGGTGATACCATGGGCATAACCTGCCTGAGCCCTGGTTTTTCTCATCTGTAAAATGGGCCCGGTGTGCACCTGCAGGGCCGTCTTCAGATAAAGCTGGCAGAGGCCAGGGGTGGAGGAGGGGTGTCCTCATTTTCTTCATTCTGGGACCCGTGTCAGGGGGTCCTTGGTGTCCTCCTCCCGTGTTTTCAACCAGACACAGGACGGACACAGAGCGGGGCTGTCGCCCAGGATCTGCGCTGGTTGGCGGGAGAGGCTGGCAGCGCCAGTGGGCAGCCCTCCCCTCTCCCCACACCCCCCGAGACAGCATCTGCTCCCGTGAGAAGAGGCGCGAAGTTGCCAGAATCGGTTCTGCCTTTGGCGTGGAGCTTGGTCTGCAGTTGCTGACTTAATTAATCGAGTTTTGGATTAAGTCCTCCCCGTGGTACCGGCTACACAAGCATCGATCCTTCGTTACATCAGAGGAGAGTCTGGGGGTGGGGGCCCGGGCCCCGCCCTGCTTGGGCACAGAGGCCCCTGGCGGCAGTGGGGGTCCCTGGACTCCCTGGCAGTGGGGGTGCAGGCTTGTCCACGTGGGTCTCGAGGGGCTGTTGGGGGTGAGCTCAGCAGAAGACACACATTCTAGCCTTTCTCCAGCTTAGGGCTCCATCTTTTGGGGGGCAGTAGAGCAGGGGCGTCGGGGGCAGCAGGCTTTTCTCACACCCAACAGCCCCTGGGCCTCGCTCGTGATGGCCGGTTCCTGGGAGACCCTGCACTTGCTCGGGTGCCTTCTGCAGGGTTGGGAGGGGCTGGCCGGCCAGGGCCCCCCCGCGCCGCGGGTGAGTCTGGGTTGCCTCTGCCCGCTGCAGCTGGGTCATGTCCGGGAAGCCACTTGACCTCTGCGCCGGCCTTTCCGTCCCCTCAGACGGGCGCGCTGCTTCCCATGTCGAGGGTGGGGCGGCTCAGCTCTGAGCGCCTGGGGGTCAGCAGGCCGGGGACATTGTTTTCCTTGCAGTGGGAAAGGTGGCTTCCCGAGGACAGGTTCCGTCCCACACACAAAGGGCTTCCCTGGAGCCAGGGAAGGAAGCCATCCCTTTTCCTGCACTTCCTCTTTCCAGGGTATTTTAAACCATCCGAAGATGCAACTTGGGGAAAAGATTCAAGACAAAGAGCAGAGAGTGCTGGGAGCAGCTGCTGGGCTCAGAGAGCCTGGCCCTGCTGCCATGCACCCTGCTCCCCCTCCAGGACCCGGCTCCTCCCCTGCCCGCTGCCGCCGCTGCCATTCTGGGCTGAGGATTAACTGTTATTTGGGGTTGGGGCCTGTCTGTATCAGACCTAGCTGGCCCCTTTTCTGGGTCCGCAGTCCCTCTATAGCCCTGACTGCCCCTTTCCTCCTTCCTGGGCCTTGGGGACCAGCGGCAGGACCCCCACCCTCCACACCACAGAGCTCTGTGCTGCCCCAGCCCAGCAGCTGCAAAGGCTGGAGGGAGGCCACAGCTCGACCAGGTGCCGGCCGGTCCCCCTGCAGTCACTTCGTGGGGCAGTGGGGCCACAGTGAGGGTGGAGCAGTGGTCCCACACTGGTCTCCAGACTGCCCCAGGCACACCCCACGTGACCCCCACCCCGTGTCCCTTAAAACTGAAAGGAGAGAGCCCAGCAGAGTCACTGGCTCGGTCCTAGCGCAGCCCTCAGACAGATGTCTGGACAACAGATCCTGCAGGTTTGAAAGAAACCTGTGGGCTTTTTCATGCTCTGGCTCCTTGTCCTGGGTGCTCTGGGCAGAAGAGGGCAAGGGGGCCGTGAGGAGTGCCCTGGCTCTCATGTCTCCTCTGGGCTTTGTTCCCCAGAGCTGAGCTGTCCTGGCTAGTCCCAGTAAGAAGGGACTCCAGGAGCCCGAGTGGGGCACAGTGAGGGGAGGCTGGCAGATGTCACCGAGCCCCCCACCCAGCCTGCCATGAGCTCATCGTCCCTCAGCAGCTCCTGCCTCCTGGAAGCTGTGGTCCCCCACTGGGGTTGGGGAAGCTGGGACTGGCCAAGTAGGGGCTCAGGTCCCAGGACACTCCCCCACCCAAGCCCTGACTGGGAACGCAGTTGTGCTCATTGACCCCATCTTCTCTGGGGAAAGAGTCTGGGGCCCCCCTGTCCTGCTTTGTCCTGGCCTCAGTCTCCCCTTTTGGCAAGGGGTCAAGAGCCTCCTCTACCCAGTCTGCAGGTGGTCCCAGTGGCCTAGGCTGGGCCAGGGTTCTCAGAATCTTCTGGCCAAGCTGCCCAGGGGTTGGTGGGCCTGCCTGGTGGTGATTTCCTGTTTTGTGCCCAGTGTCAGTGGTTTAGGGGGAGGGTAGGAGGCCTTAGCGGATCTTTATTTGGCACTGCAGTTTCACCCAATGGGGAGGAGGGGGAGACCACACTGAGCCACCCATGCTCCCCCCCAGCCCCTGCCACATCAGTGGGTCCTGGTGACATGGTGTTGGGTGGAGGGTACAGAGCAAGTGCCCCAGAGCCCCAGACTTCCCTTCCTGGGCAGAAACCCATGAGAGGAGGCAGTACTGGTGTGGGGAGGGGCTTCTAGGCAGGCACCCTGCTGCAGGCAGAAGCGGGGCCCAACGAATGGGTAGGAGGGACCTCTGGCCATGGCACATGGGACCCAGGCCCTGACTCCGGGCACTTAACAGGTGGGGGTGGGGCAGTGTTTGAGGGGGCAGCCCCCCTGTATAGCTGGTGAGCAACCACTCTGCCCTCTGCTGCCAGAGGAGACTTTGGAAACTTTGGACTTCGACAGTGACAGGAAGATGGGCTGGGAACAGATGCTGGGGTGGGGGGGTGTCCTGTGGAGGGACAGGTGGAGTATTGCCTTCCCTGGTACACCTGGGATGGGGGAGCCCCCTAAGGATAGGGTAGCTAATTAGAGCCAGGTGACTCCTTCCACCCTGGTGCTCAGGGACACAGGCTGCCTGGTGGGGCTTCCAAGCGGCCTGGGGCCCACAGAGCTGTCCCTCACTGTGTCACCTTAGGAGTACAGGCCCCAGGCCGGCAGACGTGGCCTGCAGCCAGGGTTACAAGCTCTTCTGCTGCACATCCTGGCCCCAGGCAGCGCCGGGTGGGGCACCTCTGTGCCAGGGAAGCCCTTGTGTCCCCCATGGCTTTCCTTAAACAGATGCACCTCCCCCTAGGTGCAAAGTACACGTTCCCAGGGATGCATCAGTAAATAGCATGCAAATCAAATTCACCAGCATTGGCTAGAGCATGTGTCCCCTCTGCCCAGATGGCCAGGTTGCCTCTGCACAGAGCCCTCTGTGAGCACACGCCAGCCCCTCGTACCCCTATTGCACTCACAGGGAACTGAGGCCAGGCAGGCAGTACCCATCTGTGCTGCGGAGAGCGGAGGCTCCTCTCGCGCTCTCGAAGTTCCTTTGATCAAACTGCATCTCACCAGTCCATCATTGGAGCCCAGAGGATGCATCTCCCCAGGGCATCTCCTGCAGGAGGACGGAGGGGGACCGCATCACTGACCCCCATCCCCAGCTGGCCAAGATGCAGTGTCCCGTGCTCACCCTGGCTCTGCCCCACTTGACCATAAACTCCTTGAAGGCAGAACTGAGTAAATCCCGCCTGATACTTAGTCCCTCCCCATTGGAACTAAGAGGAGGGAGCTGTCATCCATCCCCTGGGGGTGGCAGATGGCCGCTTAGCTTAGAAAGGAAAACAGCACAGTTTAGAATTAGTCCCGGGTGAAAGGGTGAGAGGTCGAGGTAACATCTGCCTCCGGATGCTTTCGGGAGTTGCATTTCTATGGAGCCGCGCTGGGGATGGGGGAGGGCTGGCGGGGGAGGGCTGGCGCCCGGCACAGTGGAAAGATTGAGGCGGTAACAAAGCTGAGGCCAGGCTGGGGACACAGCCATTTGGCGCTTCTCCGGGCAGAGAAACCTGCCCCTCCATAGCCCTTCCCCGGAGCCCCCAGCCCCACCTGTCCCTCACCTGCTGCCGGCCAGGACGGGTCACCGCAATGGGCATGTGTGGGACGTGGGACGGGAGAGAAGGAAAGTGGAGGGGCAGATGCTGGGGTGACCTCCTCCAGGAGGGGAGTGAGAAGAAGAGAGCCATCGTGGGCCCTGGGGTGCCGGGAGCTGGGACGTGCAGGGGACAGGGCCATTGTCCAGTTTGTAGGGGGCTCACACCTCCCACTTTGGGTTCTCAGCACTGTCCCCCAACAGCCCCCCAGCAGGAGGGGTGTGGGGCCAGCAAGGGGTGTTGCTCACTGGAGACCCTGGCCCGGGCCCCTCTGGGAAGTTGCAGAATTGCAAGGCAGGTGTTGAGTGCAACTTCCTTCTCCAAGCATGGGCACCAATCCCCACTGGGTACTTCTGCTGACCCACCAGGATAAGTGTCAGGACAGAATGGCCATCAGGGGCTTGGTCACTGGTGCTGGTGGCCCTGGCCATGTCTGAGCGGGGCCTCCCACCTTCTCAGGGAAATCCAGGCGCCGTGGGCAGAGAAGGCAGCAGGTGTCTCCCCAGGAAGTCCAGCACGATGGCCAGGCTGGGAGAGACATGCAGACAGGTACAGAGGAGAGAGAGATGGCACAGGCCGGGGGCTGCCCAGAGCTGGAACAGAGCTCGGGAGAGTGGGGTGAGTGGCCTTCGGGGCTGACCTGAAACCTCTCTGCCCACCTCCAGACCCAGGCCCTGCTCTCCTGGCTTGGAGTTTCCTCCGTCCCCGCTTAGGCGCCTGGCACGGCCTGGTTGCGCCTCATACATGGTGCTTCCCCACAAAGCGCCTGCCTTGCTGTCCCACCTCCAGAGCCTGCCCCTCCCCGTGGCCCTGCCTGTCCCCGCGGGGTGCTGGCGGGGTGGTGGCAGTGCTTAGGCGCAGCCCGGAGCCGGCCCGAACGGGCAGCATGCCTTCACGGCAGTGTCCGCCAGGCCTGGCGGGAGTGGGGCAGACAATGGGCCCTCTCAGCTGCCAGGAGTCTCCCTGGCTCATGCCCCGCCTGCTGGGGTGGCGGCCACCGTACCCGGCTGGGAGCAGCTGCCGCCCGCGTCCCCGGCCACAGGCGCACCTGCTCCCCGGCTGCCCTTTGTCCACGTTGCTGACGCCTGATTTACTGGACACGTTTTCCCTCACTGGCCCAGCATAACATAGCCTCACTGGTGATGATGCAGCCAGTCCTGGCTGGTGCTCCCGCAATCCTCCACGTTAGGCTCCCCATTCAGGTTTTGGGGAGGTGTGTTCAGGGGCACACTGCCGTATGGCTGGAGGGTTTAGGGTTGTGCATCTGGGCAGGATCTTCTGGTCCACTTGGGAATACTTAATGTCCTGACACATTAAGGTGCTGGGCAGAGGCCTGCTCTAGTGGGAACCCCTGGGTGTCCCCCCTTCCCCAGGACCAATGATGGAGGCCTAGCCCACAAGAAAGGTGGCACTGGGCAGCCCTGTGTCAATTCCCCCCAAAGCCGTGGGGTGGGCCTGCCTCATCTTGCCCACCCGGGTGGGCTTCCCTCCCCTTGGAGCTGGTGGGTCAGGGGCAGGGCACAGAGGGTGAGCAGGAGGCATGGACAGGGTGGGCTCCTACCCGGCTTTGATGACCAAGCGTTCTCTGTCCAGTACCCACCGCCTGCCTGCTCGTCAGTAGCTGGGAAGGAAAAAAGAGCCTTTTCTCCAAGTGGGAGAGGCAGCCAGCTCCTGCCTGACAATGGAGACCATTGATAGGTTGGGGGAGGTGCTGCCTCTCTGGCACCCCCCCCCCCCGACACCGGTGCTCCAGATTCCCAGTGCCACTCAGGCTGCGACCAGGAGGCTTGTAACTGAATCCGTGCACAGTGGGGGCCACGTCACCCTCCCCAGACTCCCGGGCTGTGTTCTTACAGGAGCTCAAGGTGCCACAGCGCTGCCGGCCGCACTGGGGGTGCATCGTGGAGTCCTAGCCCTTCACCAGGAGCCAGCCACCACCCCCCCCGCCCCCGCCTTCCTGAGCACTGACTCAGGCCTGAGCTGCCTCCCCTGGACCCCTCCCAGAGGGGCAGCTGGTTTTCTTTAAGCCAGTTGGTTTGGGACTTTTGGCTTCTGGCAACAGATGGTGGGCCGGAGTGGCCATTTTGCATCCTCCCTGCCCGCCCTCCCCAAGCTGCAGCCACAGATAAAAGCCGTCAGGGAGACAGACGCCTCCCAGGCCACAGGGGTAGGGGAGCAGCTCACCTGCTGAGAAACAGGCAGACCCCGGCCCCCCCGACTGCCACTGCCACCCCCTGGGGCAGAGCCTCTGCTGGGGCCAACCCTCCCCCTTCCTGTGCAGCTTTGATTATAGCCCCTAGGGCAGGTGGGAGGGGAGGGAGGGAGGACTGTCAGGCTGGCATTTGTTGGGGGTAGGGGTCCCCGAGTGAAGGCCATGACCACAGCTTTGGGTGCCTGGCACCAAGCAACAGCCCCTCCTGGTGGGCTCCGAAAGGGGGGTGGTCCGGTACGCGGGAGGGCTCTCTCTTCAGCCAGGGGACTGGAGGCTCCTTGCTAGCCCCCTTGGTGCCAGGTGGGAGAGGGCCCCACCCTGCCGGCGCCCAGCGCTGTGGGCCCAGCGTCAGGGCTGCCTTCCCAGGCCGCCACGGGCCGGGGGCCGGGCCAGGGCACGTTCTGCCTCAGAGGCTTTGCCTCTGGGAAGAGTGATGCCTGGCTGATCCCAGAGCCTTTCCTGAGCTGTTCCCTCGAGTGCAAGGCCATGAGGTGACCTCGGTGGGCAATTTACAGCCCGGCCTCTGGAAGCGGAGCCAACAGGTGGCCAAGGGGGGAGGCCCTGGGGCAGGGATGGCAGGTGCTAAGCCCCTCCCCATGGGGAACACATGAGACCAGGCCTGGGCGGGAAGTCAGGATGTCCCCTTCTGGCTCATATGCTCCCACTACAGCCTGAGTGGCGTACACGGTGGGGTGGTCATCGGCCAACCTGGGCCATCTCAGAGAGCTCAGGAGCCTGGTCCTCCTGGACCCTGGTTTCTCCAGCTGTGCAGTGGGTGCTTCTGCTCTTGCCTGACGTTGTGTGGACATGAGCAGTGAAGACTTGATCCCAAAATAGAAAAGCTGCGTCTGGGTGCTCCGTGTGGGTGGGGATGGGGTGTCAACCAGCAAGATCCCTGCCGCCTTAGACCCCTGACCAAGAGTTCCACGTTAAAAAGAAACTGGTGGCCAGGGCACCAGATGTCTGCAGTCCTTTCCACAGTTGACATCGTATTGGTGTTGAAAGAGGAAAAGGCCAGGAGCTCTTTTATTACCCAAATAATGCACATTCATCACAGAGAGGGGGGAAAAAGCAGACAAGCCCCCAGAACAAAAGGTTTTACAGAGCACCCCACCAGAGCATGGCTGGGACTGGCCCGTGACCCCTTCTCAGTGGCTTTCCAGGTACAGACAGACAGCTACGTGGATTTGAGATCTGAGCCAGGTTCTGCTGAACCTTCTGGTTTCCAGCTCGTTCTCCAATTAACATAATCACTTTTTTTAATGGAAGTGAATTCACTTTATATAAAGCTGACCTCTTTAAAGTGTACAGTTCAGTGGCATTGGCACATTCGTGATGTGCACCCCCCCGTCTGGTCCCAGGACCCTTCCATTGCCCTTTGGGGGGCCCTGCCCGGCCACGCGGGGGCTGTCTGGCGGCGGGGGCTGAGTGGCGGGGCTGGTGGGGGCGGCTGGCTGGGGGAGCCAGGGACTCACTGCTCTGCCGTGTCCGCTGCAGCTGCAGCGCGGCCTTTGCCGGCCAGCGATGCCAGGCACCCAACCCCTGCCTCAGCGCGCCCTGCAAGAACTCCGGGACGTGCCGCGCGGTGGACCGCAGCGGCGTGGTGGACTACGCCTGCAGCTGCCGCCTGGGCTTCTCGGGGCCGCTGTGTCTGACGCCTCGCGACAACGCCTGCCTGGCCAGCCCCTGCCTCAATGGTGGCACCTGTGACCTGCTCACCCTCACCGAGTACAAGTGCCTCTGCCCCCCGGGCTGGTCAGGTGAGGGCGCCTGCGGGGGGCGAGGGGCGGGCACAGCCCCCAGGGCCCGCTGGGAGCCCTAGCCTGGTGGGGGCGGCCAGAGTCTGGCCCACCCCCAGCTGCCCGCATCCCTGACCTGCCTGGCAGGTGCCGGGCCCCTGTCTGTGTGGCTGAGAGAAGGTCCAGGGCTTTGGTGGCCATTGGGATCGGGGTCCGTGACCAGAAATCGCCCAGAGCCCCCACCCAAGAGTCCCGTGCCCCTTTCCCGCCCTAGAGGTGTTGGGTTTTGGCTAAAGGGCCCCCACCCTCCCTGCCTCTGTCAGAAAAGGGGATACTCCCGCCTCCGTCCTCCTAGGAGCGCAAGCACCCCCAGGAGTCATGATGTCAGCATAAGCTCTGGAGGGCGACAGGCTGGGTGAGCTCTGGAGGGCCGCCCTCCCACCACACGTCCTGGGGTGGCCACTTAGCCTCGAAGATGCCGGGGTCCTGAGGTCTAAGGAGGTGATGCCGTTTGGCATCCCTGGCTGGCACCTCCTCTGTGGTGCCTGGATGCTGGGGACCAAGAGCAGGGAGCCCACCTGAACCCCTCGCCCCTTTGACCCCCAGGAAAGACATGCCAGCAGGCTGACCCCTGCGCCTCCAACCCCTGTGCCAACGGTGGCCAGTGCCTGCCCTTCGAAGCCTCGTACATCTGCGGCTGCCCTCCCGGCTTCCACGGCCCCACCTGCAAGCAGGACGTCAATGAGTGTAGCCAGAACCCTGGGCTCTGCCACCACGGCGGCACCTGCCACAACGAGGTCGGCTCCTACCGCTGCGCCTGCCGCGCCACCCACACCGGTCCCCACTGCGAGCTGCCCTACGTGCCCTGCAGCCCCTCACCCTGCCAGAACGGGGGCACCTGCCGCCCCACCGGAGACACCACCCACGAGTGCGCCTGCCTGCCAGGTACTGCCCCTCGGCCCCTGCGGGGGTGGCTGGGCACCACGGCTGGCTGGTCGGAGGGAGGGCCACCAGAGGGGGCCGGGGTGCCCAGTGAGGAGAGGGTGAGGGACCCTTTGGCAGGGGTGCAGTGGGTGGAGAGCTGGGCAGGCTGCACTTAGGAGGGGAGGTTGGACAGCAGCATTGGGTGTGATGTAGGGACAGGTCTGGAATAGGGGCCACCCTTTAGGAGGTGGCTTGTGTAGGGTCCAGGCACCCACCTGCCCGGTTCTGCTTGGGGGTGTATCTGCTGTGTCTGTGCAGCTGAACCCACGACCCCCAGTGCTCCTCCCGCTGCCGGGGGCCTGTGGTCCCTGCAGCCCCAGGGTGGGCTCCTCTGCAAAGTGCAGGCCTGGGTGTACCCTCTGCCCCGGAGCACCCCTGCCTTCGTGGCCCTGGCATCTCGTCCCTGCTCCGAGCCTCTCAGGGCAGTGGGCACCAGCCTCTTTGAAGCCACTCGGGAGTCTCCCTTATCTTTGGTTCCCGGGAACGACGTGTGACACAACTCTCCACTGCCTCTGGGAGCACCCTCACTTGTGCAGCCCCAGGGCTCCTCCTGTTTCCTGGGGCTGGCACTGTCGTCACTTGCCCTAGGGGCGGCCCTTCCTCCTGTCCCCACTTGTCTCCCACTGGTGGGCGGGGAATGGCAGGCAGGCGCAGCACCCTCTGCTGTCCCCCAGCAGCTCCACCGTTCCTGCTGCACATCCCTGCCTTCCCACCGTAGTTCTCATATGAGTAAATTTTGTTGCTGCTGATCTAAAAATAATCATGAAAAAGAGGCTTGACAACCTCTAGTCTGTCGACTACACATGAGCGGTTAGGCAGGAGTCAGGAAGGGGAGGGTCCTTCAGGTCTGGAGGAGGTGGGGTTGGTGGGTTTGGGGAGCTGGAGGGGGGCCCAGGGTCCGGCTGACCCAGAAGTGATGCAAGGGCTGCCCCAGCCCCCACGCCGCCCAACCCAGCCGGGGCCCCGCGGAGAGGAAGTGCTCTGCCCGCCTGCCATCCGCGAGCCCTGGGCCTTGTCACTGCAGCAGCTGCCTCTGCGTGCAGACACCAGGCGCGTGCATTTCCTGTGTGTCACTGGGTGCCCCCTCACCACCTGCCTGCCCGGCGCTGCTGGCTGCCGGGCTCTCTCCAGGGGGCTGAGGGCTGAGCCCTCTTGCCAGGCCCACCCCTGTGTTCTGGGTTCAAATGCCTTCTTGGTGGCTATGGAACCCAGGGCATCGACCTTACCTGTGGCCACTTGGGTCATGACGGGCTGTGGTGAGGGCTGGGGGCGCTGAGGGGTGTGAGGAGCCCCACCAGAGGTGCCCCAGCCGTGGAGCCGGTGCTGGCCCCATCTGGGCGGGGGTGGGGTGAGGTCCATCCGCTTTAGAACAGACCCCCTGAGGCCGGGGAGAAGCAGCGCTGAAGGCCCCCATGCAGGAGAGGCGCTAGCGTGGGGGCTTCTGTTTGGGGCGCTTCCCTAAACTACTATCCATTTGCATTTTGGCTTTTCCTGGCCTCCTGCTTTGGCTCCAGGGCTCCAGGTGTTGGGGGGCCTCAGAGGGAGGGGCAGGAGGGGGTCCAAAGGCACCTGGGAGGGGCATTAATTAGTAACTGGCTGCAAGTTTGGCTATTGCCAGGAGCACCTTTCTGGGTTGATTATTGAACCAGCAGGAGCTGAAAGGATTAATAGCTAACTGGCTGGCTGCGGAGGTGGTGCCACGGAGGTTGGCCCAGGCTAGGGGAGGAGGTGGGCCCCGGGCCTCTGTTCCTGGGAAGCTGAGGGCTGCGTCTGCACTCTCCCTCAGGAGTCCCACTGCATCCTAGGTCCCACCGTCTCCGGCTTCCAGCTCCGAGGGCTCCCAGCCCGACGCAGCCCCTGGAAGATAGCATGTCTGTGGCCGCCTGCGGGGGTGTTGCAGAGAGCCCAGCACAGTGCCTGGCCCATAGGCAGTGCCCACCTGTGGGACCCCTACCCAGAATGTCTATCACAACAGAGCCTCTAGAACCCTGTGCGCCCAGGTCGCTGTCTGCTCAGCTAGCCTTTACAGAATAATTCCTTGGAGAGGACTGCGTTGCTTGTGGGCTCTGGAGTCTGCAGCTTGGCCACAGGCGTGGGATGGGCAGGGCGTGGGGCATAGAACCCAATGGCCTCAAGGCAGTGGGCATCACGGGGCGGGCCACAGAGGGGCAGCTCCCTGTCCTGAGCAGCAGGTCGTAGGTCCAGCCAGAAGGATGCGAGAGCCCGGCGTAGCGAGCGTGGTGGGGCAAGTAGGGAGGACTGACTGGGCTCCCGGCTCCTCCTGCCACAGGCTTCACCGGCCAGAACTGTGAGGAAAATATTGACGACTGTCCAGGAAACAACTGCAAAAACGGAGGTGCCTGCGTGGACGGCGTGAACACTTACAATTGCCGCTGCCCCCCGGAGTGGACAGGTGTGTGCACGGTGAGGCAGGGATGGGAGTCAAGAACCTGGTCCAGGCTGGGGAGGATGCTGTGACCTGGGGCCCACCGCAGCAGGCGGCACAGATGTGGCATCAGCTTGATCTGTGTGGGCCGTTTGCAGCCTGGCCCCAGGCAGCCCTGAGCCAGAATCAGGTCCCCAGGCTGGATAAGACACAGGGACGCTGGCCAGTAGGACATGGGCCCTGGCCCCCAGGAGCTGTCTCCATGTATGGAGATGACAGGTGAGCGTGGCCCCTGGTGCACCTGTGCCCACAGAGCAGCAAGAGGAGAACCCCCTCCGGTGCCCGGGGTGCAGAGGAAGGGGTAATTCAGGCTGGCGGCGGGTGGGGTTCACCAGAGGAGGGAAGGCTTCCTGGTGGAGGTGGGCCCTGCACCTCGAGGGGTGGGGGTCTCATCCAAGGGTCTGGAAGGCCCTTCCTGGCCTGACAGACCTGACCTCTGCAGGTCAGTACTGCACCGAGGACGTGGACGAGTGCCAGCTGATGCCCAACGCGTGCCAGAATGGTGGCACCTGCCACAACACCCACGGCGGCTACAGCTGCGTGTGCGTCAACGGCTGGACGGGCGAGGACTGCAGCGAGAACATCGACGACTGCGCCAGCGCTGCCTGCTTCCACGGCGCCACCTGCCACGACCGCGTGGCCTCCTTCTACTGCGAGTGTCCCCATGGCCGCACGGGTGAGCGCAGGGCCCGGAAGGGCGGGCTTTGGCCTTCTCGCTGCCCTCGCTCGAAGGAGGGCCTGGCGGGTGGGAACCTGGGAAGGCTCGTGCAGACTCAGACTGCAGCTTTTCGGGGCCTGTGAGGAGGACCTGAAGGGGCCTTTCTGGGGGAAGTGGGGTGGCCGGGGTGGGGGTGGCCCACAGTCGGGCCTGCTGGTGGTGAACCTCCCAGAAAATCCCATGCATCGTGGGACGCTCCCCAGGGTCACTGGCCGTGTCATGGTGGGAGGGTGGCATGTGGGCAGCCTGGGGGGACACAGTGCCTCTGCTGACCATCCCGCCCCGCCCAGGTCTGCTTTGTCACCTCAATGATGCCTGCATCAGCAACCCCTGCAACGAGGGCTCCAACTGCGACACCAACCCCGTCAACGGCAAGGCCATCTGCACCTGCCCCTCAGGGTACACAGGCCCAGCCTGCAGCCAGGACGTGGACGAGTGCTCGCTCGGTACGCGTGGGCGGGGGGCAGCCAGGTCCCAGAGGAGTCCATCAGAAATGGACCCTCTCCTTAGAGGGTTCCTAGTCTGATGGGGGAGGCAGCCCCGACTCTGGACCACCAGTCCTATGGGGGAGGTGGGCACGTCCCAGAGTGTTCCAGAGGCCAAGGCTCTTGACGTGGCTTCTCATCCAAACCATGTCCCCCAGGCGCCAACCCCTGTGAGCACGCAGGCAAGTGTATCAACACCCTGGGCTCCTTCGAGTGTCAGTGTCTGCCGGGCTACACCGGCCCGCGCTGTGAGATCGACGTCAACGAGTGTGTCTCGAACCCGTGTCAGAACGACGCCACTTGCCTGGACCAGATCGGGGAGTTTCAGTGCATCTGCATGCCTGGTACACCAGCCAGCCCCCCGCCCACCGCCCGTGGGCAGGCGCCTTTGCCTGGCAGTGGGGAGTGGGGAAGCCGCATCAAGGCAGATGGCCCCCGGGAGTGCCCTGGCCACGTCTCCTCGGCCCAGGCACCCACGCCCGCCCTGGCCGCACCCTCCGCGGGTCTCTGGGGAAACTCGGCCAGTCCTGCAGGGCATGGCTGAGAGTGGGCCGGAGCTGGGCAGATGGGTGGGGTGCTGGTTGGACTGCCGGCGAGCAGGGCATTGCTTTTGGTGTCAGAACCCCTGGCCATGGTGGGGGCCCCTGAGGTGGTTCACACCCCCTGCGCCCCTGACTCTCCCCTCCCCCGCCAGGCTACGAGGGCGTGCACTGCGAGGTGAACACGGACGAGTGTGCCAGCAGCCCCTGCCTCCAGAACGGCCACTGCATAGACAAGATAAATGAGTTTCTGTGCGAGTGTCCTACGGGTGAGGCCTGGCCTTGTCCTGCAGGAGCCCTCCTACTCTCAGGGAGGGGTGCCTGATCAGGTCCCCCAGGGGCTGGGCTGGGGCTGGGGGAGAGTGGGGGCTTCACAGGAGCAGATGGGGCGTTTTCAGGCTGGGTGTGCTCGCCCAGGGCCCAGAGACCCTCCTTCCTGCTGGAGTCTCTCTGGGAGCAGCAGTGTTCTCGCCAGCCCCCTAGGGGCCGGGATGGGAGGAGGGCCAGTCTGAGTCCCTGATGGCTCACAGCTGGGAGGGAGCCAGCCTGCCGTGGACATGATGGCTGGGAG